CCACCTTAGGTGTATGTGGCTGGCGCCTTAGCCGCTTGAGCCACAGGCGCTGAGCCCATTTACATTTTTGGTGAGCAACCAATGACACATGCAGCACATGCACACCTTCACCAGGCTTCTCAGTGTGGTCAGGATCCATTAGGGAGTTTGAGGAACTTGGTCATCTTACTGATGGGGAAACCAGGTCCAGAAAGGGATAAACCACCAAGTCCTGGCCCAGACCCAGCTCCCACTGCCTTGTGCAACTGACAGTGTTAGCACTTACTGGCTGGGTCTAGTAGACAGAGGAGAAAAACCGATTGGTCTGGGTTTGCTCAGTGGATGTCTGAGAGCCACAGTGTGACCTAATACAGGGAGCCTGGCAATGTAAGCGTCGGGAGGGAAGCTGTCTCCTAAATAAGATCGAACATTCTGCTATAGATGCTGCTTACCAGTGGACTGAGCAGTTTAACAAGTACTTCTTTGAGGCAGTGGTTACAATGTGGTGACTACCCAGGTTTAATTCAAGGCTCATAGACTTACTAGCTATGTGACATTGGGTAAGTTACTTAGCATCTCTATAAACTTCATTTCTCTGATTTGAAAATTGAGAAGAATAATAGTATTTTATAAAATTGTTAGGACTGGGCCAGCGCCTGTAGCTCAGCGGCTAGGGCACCAGCCACATACACCAGAGCTGTTGTGTTCAAATCTAGCCTGGGCCTGCCAAACAATGACAACTACCACCCCAAAGTAGTCGAGCAGTGTGGTAGGCGCCTGTAGTCCCAGCTACTTGGGAGGCTGAGGCAAAAGAATCACTTACACTCAAGAGTTGAGGTTGCTGGCTCAGCGCCTGTGGCTCAGGCGGCTAAGGCACCAACCACATACACCTAAGGTGGCGGGTTCGAGCCCCCAGCCCGGGCCCGCCAAACAACGATGACTGCAACCAAAAAATGGCCAGGCGTTGTGGCGGGCACCTGTAGTCCCAGCTACTTGGGAGGCTGAGACAGGAGACTCGCTTGAGCCCAGGAGTTGGAGGGGGGAT